AGGGTTTTTTGTTTTTGTTTTGTTTTTTCTCTTTTTTTTAGGCTAGGTAACATCAAATCCTGGGAAATAGTACAAGAGTCATGGTTAAAAGGAGTCACATTGGTTGGGTTTGAATTTTAGCTCACCGATAAATAGCACTATATAACCATGCATGCATTTTGTAACCTTTGTGCAATTTTTTCCTCATTTATAAAATATGTATACTTCATATGAATGTGATGAGGATTAAATGAGGTAATACACCTGAAGTTCTGCAAATGTAAGCAATTCTCTTTTTTGAGAGATTTTTGCTTATAGCGAGTGTGCGCTTGCCAGAGATATAGAGAGAGACTGAGAGATAGAAAGCAAGAAGTCACCCCTTGGGGTGGGTGGCCGCACTGCAGTCCTTTCTCCATTTCTTCTCTCGGGATTTTGGTCACGCATGCACATATGCCTGGTATAAGTTTTAAGTCACTGGGTCTGGGACCCAAACTGTGATCAACTATGTGGAAGTCCAGTGACATATCCATTACACCATCACACCATCTGCTAGTCCCAGAAATTCACTTAAAAAAAAAAAGAATTTATTTTATTCATTATTATTACTACTTTTAAATTTGCTATACAGCACATACCCGAGAGAGAGAGAGAGAGAGAAATAAACCAAGCTTCCAGGGCCGGTACTTTAACTGGTGAGCCATGTGGGAGTCTAGTGCCTTAACCACTGTGCCACCTGGTAGCCCCAGTATTTTTTTTTTTTTTTTTTTTAAGGCTTTTTTAATCCGCGCGCACGCGCTTGCTGGAAAGACAGAGAGAGACAGAGAAAGCAAGAAATCACCCCACAAGGGGGCTGGCCACGCTGCAGTCCATTCTCCTCCATTCTCTTCTTGGGATCTTGGGCATGCATGCACACGTGCCTGTCATGAGTTTAAGCCACCAGGTCTGGGACTCAAACCACGGTCAACTACATAGGAGTCCAGCGACATAGCCATTATGCCAACTGCTGGTCCTTAGCCCCCAAGTATTTTTTGATTGCTAGAGGGCACGTGTGCTGGCCAGAGGAATTGAGAGGGAGAAAGTACCCATCCCAAGTTGGGCATGGTCGAGCCACTGTCCCCTTTCCACCCTGTTGACATTTGGATACATATGTGCACACACACTGTTGGAGCATTTTTCAAGCATTTGGGACTGGGATTTGAACCACCATGGTCAGCCATGTGGGATCTAGCTCATTTTACAAGGTATTGGACTGGCCTGTGTAAGCAATTATTATTCTTATTTTAAAAATTCTGCCAGAGGCATGCATGTCCACCAGAGAGAAACAGAATGTTGAGAGGTGGGGAGTGAGAAGGCAGCCCGTTGTAGGGGATTGTTCCACCGCAATCCCTTCTCTTTTCTCCCTCTTTTCAGGATTTTGGACAAACATGTACACACGCCTGGCACGTTTTTCAAGTTGCTGGATTCAAGATTTAAACAGTACAGTTGGTCATGTGGGATCCAGCTGCTTTAACCACAATGCTGCTGGCTAGCCCCAGTATAAGCAATTATTATCATCAGAGTTCAGAGTTTACAGTTGCTTTTTCATGCTGAAATAATAAGAAGTAAGGCAATATGTTTTTATCTTGAGAAACTTGATAAGTGTTGGAGAAAGGTAATAATCCCCACTCTTTAATTTCTCAGAAATGTTTATGGTTATAGTCAAAGCGTTCTACTTTCTTGAAGTCTTTTTTCCACCAATATATATATTTTTTCAAATTTAGGTTGACCTTTTTTTTTTTCAAATGGCACTATTGAAAGTTGGAATGCAGTACCTATCAAGCATCAGCAGTGTTTTCATGTTTCACATAGCAAGAGAGAAGTCTGGGAAAGTAGGTTGGCATATTTAAGGAGAGTTACCTGTGCTAGAGAAGATAGCAGACTTTGAATAAAGTTGTGTCAATAGAAGAGTAGTATGTTGGGTAATAAAGTTTATAGACTGTTCAAAAAGTCTAGGATTGGGGTAAAATTCAAACAGTATGCTAGTTATGTTTTCAAATGATAGGTTCACAGTGTTTTTCTTCAAATTCAGATACCTTTTTTAGTTGATGTACTTCTAAATTTGAAAGTAGATTGAGTTGCCAAACTGAAAGTATGATACATTATTTTCCCTATGTTTTCATACTTTTAGGGCACTATGTAATATTATTTATGAATTAAGACAGACTATATATATATATGTATATATATATATATATAAAGAAAGAAATACAAAATAAATCCTGTTTAATTAGGCATCTAAAAATGAGCATTTTTAAACTAATGAAAACAACTTAAACTAAGATAAAATTTAACACAAATAAGTTAAACATGTTAAGTAAAATATGATAATACAATAAGCAAAAATAAGTTCAATCAGAGCTTGGTCAGATTACTAAGTAATTAGATCTCATGCATGTGAATTGATTAAGATCATAGGTAATTAAGATCTTAGGATGTAAATTATGAGTCAAACTACCTGTTTTGTATTCTGGTTTCACTGTTTATCAGTTGCAAGACCTTAAAAAAAATTTTTTTTTGCATGTGTTTCGATGCTTTCATCTAAAAAATGGGGGAAATGATAGTATCTACCATAGAGGTAGATATGTGCTTAATAATTTAACTAATAATTCTGTTAAATCAGTGTAGGCATATGCATTTGATTTTTTTCTTGATGCTTCCAAGATGATTGTTACCAGCCCTTCAGAAAATGGACAGGTGTTTCGTGTAATTCCATCTACCCAGACAGGAATGGCACAAGTGATTATACCTCAGGGACAGCTTGTGGATGTGAATAGTCTTCGGGGTAAGTAATAAAGGGCTCTATGGGACTTAAGAATGTTTTAAAGAACAAATACATATTTTTAGAAAATCACCTCATGAAAGTATGTGCTAAAATTGATCTTTTTAGGTAGATTGTGAACTGAATAATTACAAAAAGTTTCTTTGCCCAAATAAATTTCAAGTTCATTTTTCAACTCCTGTCTAGGTTAACTGTCTATTTCATTTTGGAATTCTATGAAGCTGGTTGACTCCTGCTTCCTCCCAAATGACCAGTGAGCATAAAATAAATTCTTCTTAATTATAATAACAGTAATAATAACAGCATCAATAACAAGAATATAGTGCTAATAGCTACAAGAGAAGTTTTTGCATTTATATTTTATCGATATTTTTGTTAGACATATAACTCATTACTTTTATTTAACTGTTCCTTTTATCTTGTTGCTTATTTCTTCTTTCCTTTGTCCCAGAGATTTCGAAAGGAAAAATTGCACTCTCCATTTCTTTTTATACTTTCTTTACCTGTTTGATATAATCCCTATTAGTTCTTTTCCTTTCGCTTCCGTCCCTTTTCCATCTATTTGAATCTCTTTTCTAATATGGTAACTATAGGGCTTTATTGTTCTTTCATAGCTAATGGTTTAGGATAGATACTTTTATGTTAGTGTTATGATTCTTTGTCTTTGTTAACAGTTGTTAAAGCTTTAGAAAAAAAAAATAGCTTGCCAAAAACATTATAAACATGGTATATTAACACAAATTAGTTTTCTTTTATATCGTGAAACCCAGTACAACAGGTATTTCTGCCACTTTTAAATCCTATCTGTTTATAGAAGTTCCAAAACTTTAATTACGAAATTACAATAGTCAGTATTATAACTTAAACCAGGTTATCAGAGATATTCGTAATAAAGGATTACAAGGTTGTTTTTGTTTTTATTTTGTTTTTGTTTTTTGTTTTATTCAGAGCAATTCCTTCTTTTCCTATTACAAATAAAAATTCTAGATAGGTGCCTTCTTCTGATGCTATTCAAGACATTGATGTTGCTTTATTCTTGTTTTTGCTATTAAGATGTCTCTGAAGAGAAACCCAGTGACAGAAACTTACCACCTGTAAGAGGGGATGTGCTTACTGACAACAATACCAGTAGCTACATTCTTCATCCACAGGCCTCTCTCACATTACCCAAAAGGTCAGTGAACCAGGCCAGTCAGTGGGAAAGAGGAGCTTATTTTTAAAAATAATTTTTAATTTAATTTATTTATTTTAATTTGACTAGAAAGAGAAAGGAGTGAGAAAGCAACCTGCCAGTCCCAGGACTTGAACCGCAGTTGACCATGTGGGAGTCTAGCATCCCAACCATGACACTTCTGCCAGCCCCAGAGAAACTCATTTTTTAATATCCGATGGAAATCTTTTGTAAATAATCACATCTATAGCTAGCTGACTATAGAAAAGATTAGAAATTTAGAAAGTAAAAGAAACTATTACCTAATGTATTTTTAATTACCTTAATAGAAACTTGGTAATGAGAAGGCTAATCTAGAAGCTATAAGTGTCAAAAGTGCTAACTTACCTATTATCTTTTTTTCTTTCTTTCTTTTTTTTGGAGAGGTTTTTGCTATAGGGTGGGTGTGCTTACCAGAAAGACAGAGACAGAGAGACAGAAAGCGAGAAATCGCCCCCCAGGGGGTATGGCCACGCCGCAATCCCTTCTCCTCCATTCTCCTCTCGGGATCTTGGGCATGCACACACATGCGCCCGGCGTGAGTTTTAAGCCACTGGGTCCCGGACGCGAACCACGGTCGACTACGTGGGAGTCCAGCGACATAACCATTATGCTAACTGCTGGTCCCATACCTGTTATCTTTTGAAGCACTATGAAAAGTCTGATGCTGGGACCAGCAGTTAGCATAATGGTTATGTCGCTGGACTCCCACGTAGTCGACCGTGGTTCGCGTCCGGGACCCAGTGGCTTAAAACTCACGCCGGGCGCATGTGTGTGCATGCCCAAGATCCCGAGAGGAGAATGGAGGAGAAGGGATTGCGGCGTGGCCATACCCCCTGGGGGGCGATTTCTCGCTTTCTGTCTCTCTGTCTCTGTCTGTCTGACGAGCACACGCACCCTATAACAAAATAAACCTCTTCAAAAAAAAAAAAAAAAGTCTGATGCTGGATAGAGGTTTTAAACAAGCATTTTTATTTCCGTAACTTTTTATTATTATTATTGCCAGAGGTTGTGTATGCTTACTTAGGACAGAGAAGTAGAAGGAGGTGGAGAAAACACCCCTCAGTGGAATGTGATCACACCACAATCACTTCTTCATTTCTCCATCTTGGGATTTGGGGCATGCATGCACACACATCTTTCAAGCCACCACGGTCAGGATTTGAACCATACTCATCCATGTGGGATCAAGCTCCCTTAATAGCCAGGCCATGGGACTGTTACATTCCTAAAATTTTTTAATGATTTTATCACATTTTTCTGCATGTAATTTCCTCTGGATAAAGTGTTTACCATATTTTTTGCTAACTTCTATTTCAAATTTTATTTTATCTTTAAATAAATTGTTCATGATGATTTAATGAAATTGCCTTCAAATAACACTGCTCCTGGTAATTTAGGGAAATATATACATGGTTTATGTATTATTTATATACTTTTTTTTTCTAGTTTTTGCAATAGGATACATGTGCTTTGAGGGAGAGATGAGAAATTATCCCCCAGAGGAGATGGTCAGCCTGCAATCCCATCTTCTCCAGTCCCCTCTCAAGTTTTGGGCATATGTACTCAGTGTAATTTTCAAGCAACCTGGTCTTGTATTCTAACTAACTACACAATTAGCCATGATAGATCCAGCCACCTGCTGGCCCTGTTTTTATATATATGTTTTTTGTAGAGGTTTTTGCCTTAGGGCACATCCACTCACCAGAGAGGGTGAGAAAGAGAGAGAGAGAGAGAGAAAGAGAGAAAGTGGAGGGGAAGTAAGAAATCACCCCTCAAGGTGGGTGGCCAGTCCCGTCTCATCAATTCTCCTCCTGGGATCTTGCGCATGCATGCACATGCACCTGGAATGATTTTCTTTTTTCTTTTTTTGGAGAGGTTTTTGCTATAGGGTTTGTGCACTCGCCAGAAAGACAGAGCCAAAGAAACAGAAAGTGAGAAATCATCCCCCAGGGAGGATGGCCACACTACATTCTCTTCTCCTCCATTCTCCTCTCGGGATCTTGGACACGTCCGCATCTGTCGATCTTGGACACGCACATACATGTGCCCAACGTGAGTTTAAGCCACTGGGTCCTGGACTCAAACTGGTTGCCAACGTGGGAGTCCAGCACCATAGCCATTATGCCAACTGCTGGTCCCCCACCTGGCATGATTTTCAAGTCACCACGTTAGGGACTCAAACCATGTTCAGCCATATGGGAGTCCAGTGATATAACCACTGTGCCATCAGCTGACCCCTTTATTCTTTTATTTCTTTTTTTAAGAATTATTTTGGGGCCAGCAGTTAGCATAATGGCTGTGTCACTGAACTCCCATGTAGCTGACCGCAGTTCGAGTCCCGGACTAGGGAGAGAGAGAGAGACGGGAAAAAAGAAAGTAAGTCAACAGGTCCAGAACTCAAACTGTGGTCACCCATGTGGGAGTCCAGGGCCTCTAACCACCACACCACCTGCCAGACCTGGCCCCTATAGCTTTTAATTGTTCTATGAAGGTATTTTTTTAATTAAGACAGTAACTATGACATTTAGTCTTAAGTCATCTAAAACTTGGGCTGGCAGTTGGCATAAGGGCACTGGGCTCCCACATGGCTGACCATGGTTCGAGTCCTATTCCTAGTGACTTGATTTCTCACTTTGCCTCTTCCTCTCTCTCTCACTCTGTCCCTCCCTGGTCAAATTAAAAATAAATGAATAAAGGGACCAGCAGTTAGTGTAATTGCTATGTTGCTGGACTCCCATGTAGTAGACCACGGTTCGAGTCCCAAACCCGGCAGCTTAAACACACGCCAGGCATGTGTGCATGCGTGCCCAAGATCCCGAGAGGAGAATGGAGGAGAAGGGATTGCAGCATGGCCATCCCCCCTGGGGGTGATTTCTCACTTTCTGTCTCTCTGTCTCTCTCTTTCTGGCGAGCACATGCACCCTATAGCAGAAACCTCTCAAAAACAACAACAACAACAACAAAAAAAACCACATGAATAAATAAAGTTAAATAAAGTAATTATTAAAAAAAAGAAAAATATATAAAATGTAAATGTTACTCCTAACAAATCACTTGGATATGTTTTATTAGCTCACTTTTTGATAAATAAATAATTATATGAGAAGAGTACAAAATAAGTTTTGTGTTTTTTGTTTTTTTTTTTTAATTTGCTGGAGGGTGTATGTGCTTGCTTGAGAAACAGAGGGAAAGTGAAAAGGCACCCCTTACGGAGATGATCATGCCACAACTCCTCCATTTCTCCTTTTGAGATTTTGGACATGTGCGCACACATACACACACACACACACACACACACCCTGATGTGTTTTTCTTTTTTTGTTTTGTTTTGTTTTGTTTTGCTTTGCTTTTATTATTTTTTTATTTATTTATTTTTATTTATTAATTCACTTTACACCTTCACAACACATAAATGAATTTTCCATCCAAAATACACTGTGCATTGTCTCAATCAAGTACATCCACATATATGTTCTCAGCAAATAATTTTCCAATTCTTACGTCCTTCATACCTTGCCCTTTGTCTTGCCATCCCTGATTCCCCATCCCCCACCCTCTGCTATGTCCCACCTTCCCCCCCCTTTTTCCCTGGCACCCA